TACTAGTCATCCCGCTAACTTTTAACAGCCAGCCATTGACTATTAACAGTTAAGACCGACTGTTACAGGTTGGCTGTTTAACAATTGACCCTTTTTCTCATTGGAAATCGACATTTTCAACGAGAAAAACTCCTCTCCACTCACAAAAACAGCTAAATCTACCTAGTAATCAACCATCTACCTTAAATAACCAACAAAAAATTGAGAAATGTTAAATTTAATAATTCACACCATTAAGTTAATAATCAAAATCATTATCTAATTTACAGAACAACCCAAAACACAAGAAGAAGAAGTTCGTCAGCGACTGGGATGTTGGTGATGGTGTTGACTGGTGACCGATCTCCGATCGACTGAATTCCAACTATGGTAAGTGTTTTTGTTTACGTTTTACATCACTATTTGGCACAAGAAGACAAATGGAAAGTGAAGGAGCAGGCTGGATTTTTTGGGTTTTGATCTTTAAATTCAATTATTCATTTTCTTAATTTTAATTTTTTTAATAAAAACAATCAAAGACCAAAGTGGAAATATGGCCAGGTTAACCGGCCATTTCCACTTATTTCCTCCATTTAGGTAGCCACATTTTCTTTCGAATTCATTTTTAATCGTACATTCTTCAATAAAATAGTTTTATATAAAAATTTAAATTTTTTTCATATTTTTTAATCACAAATTTAGCAGAAGAGTCCAATTCCGATTAATTGTATCAGTTGTCGCCCAACTATAAATGGGTCATTGAACTTCAATCTAATTGCAGCTAAATCAATAACTTTCAATTTCGTTAGTCTTCATAACCGAAAACGCTTAATTGATCTTTAAATGACATCCATGTAGACTCTCACCTCATCGGCCACTTTCCTAAGAAAAGAAAATATGTCTTCACAAATGGTTAACCACATCTGCAATCATTAGTTTAACCAGTCAATCAAGTATTTTTCTGCTACGAGGATAGACGGAATTGAAAATGAGTGATTTAATTGCAATCAAATTGAAGTTAAGTAATCTGATTGCTGTTAATTGAAGTTCAGTTACAAGAACGCTGTTGGTGTGAAGTCGGGTGACCACTGGTACAATTAGTCCAATTCCTTTAAAGGAAACTCGTATTTAGGGGGCGTTTGTTTATCATTTTTATAAGAATGAGAATAAAAAATATAGTCGTTATGGGCCCCACACAAGATATAAAAATTCAAATTTGGTGATTTGATATGATGAATAATGATCATATTTTTCATTTTAATGGGGAAATGAACCAAACAGGGGCTTAGAAAGTATCAATATGATAATAAATTCCACCATGTAGCACAAATACTATCAAATTCTACGATAGAATAACCTTAAATGAATCGAGAAATTATTAATTGGGAAATAAATTTAAAAGTACCAATATGTGGCGAAAAATCAGAAAATTCTACAATTATGTTGAAAAATATGTTACAAATAAATTCACCATTAATCGAGCTGAGAAATATTTATTTAGATGACTACATATTTCGGGTTAATTATATGAATGGTCATTGAACTTTGCCCTATGTTACTACTTAGTCACTGAACTTAAAAATGTAATTCAATGGTCATTGAATTTCGCCAAATGTTATTACTTCATAACCGAACTTCAAAATATATCTCAATGGTCACCAAATTTTGCACCGTGTTACCCATCCATCACTCAAATGGAAAAATCCTTTAATTCCAACAAATGACGTCAACTTGAGTGACAGATGGGTAACACGATGCAAAATTCGATGACCATTGAGATACATTTTAAATTTCGATTATGAAGTAGTAACACTTGGCGAAATTCATTAAGCATTGAGTTACATTTTTAAGTTCAGTAACTAAGTAGTAACATAGGACAAAGTTCAGTGACCATTAAGATATATTTTTAAATTGAATTTTTAAACCCTTGTTTGAATCCCATTTTTCCCAAAAATAAAAATAAAAATATTTTTAAACAGTGATTTGACACATTCAACTACATATTCTTCAATAAAATAATATTACATACAAATTCAAAACTTTTCCTTTTTTTTAACTACACATTTTTCATCAATATAATATTCAAAAATTCATTTTATCCCTCAAAATGAGGATAACAAAGGCTAAACTTCTCAAATCGACAACTATGAAAGAAGAAATCAAAGAAAATGAAGGGAAAAAAGAGGAAATAGAAAATTAGAGACCCATAAATTAAATAAAAATAGAATTGTTGTTAATATTCATCCATCATGGTGAAAAAGTACGTTTGATTTTTAGATCAACTGGTATCAGTTTATCGTATCTCAAACTCCGCATAAATAGATTGAAAGAGAAACAGTTGGAACACTACAAAAAATTGACAGAGAAAAATTAAATAAAAGTACAAAAATTCTCGAATAGTGCCAATGTAACTGAGGTCGATTCGATTTTTCAACTATGTTACTACTTAGTCACTAAATTTAAAAATGTAACTCAATGGTCACTGAACATCGTCAAGTGTTACTACTCCATAACCGAACTTTAAAATGTATCTTAATGGTTATCGAACTTTTCACCGTGTTACCCATCTGTCACTCGAATTGACGCCGTTTGTTGAACTTAAACGAATTTTTTCATTTGAGTGACGGATGGATAATACGGTGCAAAATTCGGTGATTATTGAGATACATTTTAAATTTCGGTTATAAAATAGTAATACTTGACGAAGTTCAGTGACCATTAATTTACATTTTTAAGTTCAATGACTAAGTAGTAATATATAGGACAAACTTCAGCGACCATTCATATAATTAACCCTACATATTTCTATCCAAAACATCTGTATCAACTACCAAGCATAACATTAGTTCCACGATTCTTGCAATTCATCGACTGGTATAATATAGAAACACGATTTTACCAAGATAATTGACAAAAAAATAGATAAAGCATGACATTCCAAAGGCAAGAAACGATATAATTTCAACTGGTCTTAATTTATAAGGTCCAAAACCATGATAAAGAATTATCCTCATCGTGCTAAATAAACTGAAGAGAAATGAGTCCTAACCAGTCGAGAAGCCTAGTTAGCGAATTCATATCAAGCCTGACCATAATAAACTTCGACACCCTAATCTCAAAAGTCGTCTACTTTAACAGCATAATGAGGCATCTCAAAAGTATCCTTTGGCTTCGACTTCTTCACACCAGCAGTGAAACAAACCTTTTCCGACTTGTTGCCCTCAACAGCCACATTTGTGATCTTGACCCATACGAGGACCTTCGTTTTCATTCCTTCTATACCCATGAGCTTGCCCCTTAGGAGAATGCACTTGACCCGGGGGGCATATCTTATCACAGAGGAGTCTTTAAAGCTCAATTCGCAAGAGAAGGGTAAGTGCACTGTCAGCCTCGATTTCGACTCATCAAACTCGTAACACGCAATATTCTGAGGGAAAAGGCCTACTGGTAAGTTGTACTCTCGTAGAAGTTCTGGTAAGCTTCTCGATGGCTTTCCTACAGAGAGAGAAAAGGTTGAATTAGCACATCTTGGATCTTAGATCCGTTATACATGTTTGGATAACTTTCTATTTTCTCGTCTTACTGTCAAAATAAGTAATTTTACTTATTTCCAACTTCAACCCCTAAAAGATAATTTACTTAAAAACTTGCTTTCTTATACGCAAACCTTTTAAGCTTAGCTGAACATGCTCTAACTATAAACTTTATACACCGAAATCAGAACCTTCTGAACTATGTCGACAACTACAGAAAAGATACATGACCATAATTTAAGAAGGCCGGTGCCATCACAATTCTTTAGATTAGAAGAACTAGCGTGCTAATTGCTACCAATACATCATCAACAGGACAGCAGTAACATATAATACTAAGGTGTTTGACAATTTACAGATAAAACGCACCTTTCAGCTTGTTAAATATCCATTTTGCTTTCTCTTCAACAACATTTGAAACAGTCTGCAACAATAGGTGATTTTACAAATGAAGTTAGTTTGAGACTCAATATTATATACCTACTTGTAACTTTATGGTCTTCTCAATCAAAATAATATATTTCTAGCATAATCAAGAAAATGCAGCATATATTAAGACAACGTTCACTGGATTAATTCATAAAGCAATGCCATTTCCAGTTTAGTTTGATTTATATCCCATTTTCAATTTGTCATCTCTTCTATACCCATTTTCACAAAGCAATCAAATAGATATTTTGAATGCTAAAATCTTGTCTAAATTCTAGACATGAATCATAATAATGGTTCGTTCTAGCTCTTAATTGCTAGTTCAAACCAATTGCCAGGCCCCCAAAAAAACAAAAATGAAAATGAAAAATAAAATTAAAAAAATGGATTTCATTTGACAGCTACTCTTTACCTTCCCTCAACCCCAACCCCAAGTATTTTAACAAGAAAAAACTCCATTCTCCAAAACCCAGATATAATTTACACTCTATATGGAAACACAAATAACAAACAAGAAATGCTTTCCGAAATAAATGAAGACAGTAGAGCTCAAATAAAACCCATTTCATTTATAATTTTACCACAATAAACAAGAAATGAAGTACATACAGTGAGGTCTTGAGCGACATTGTTGAATTCTTCCTTGGCTTTCTTTGATAGCCAAAAGCTTCCAGCTTTTATGCTTTCTACTTTCACCAGAGCCTTCTCCATTGTATTTTTCCCTCTCCAGCTCGCTCGCACCCAAGAAGCTGTGTGCTTTTGGCATTTAAGGGCATCCACCACCGTAAAGGGCTTTATTTATTTATTTTTTATTATTATACAGCTCTCGAATCTATAAAGTTTACCTTTTAATTTTTTTTCCATTGCTTTATTCGATGCAACTACTTTTTTTGTTTGACATTGTACACCATAATTTCCTTAGTACTTGTTTGGAACAGATTTTAAGTTAATTAAAATCAATTTTTTGATAGTTATTTTACTAATTCAGTCATCATTTTTGAATTCTTTTCTCATAAATAGGGTCCACATTATTTCTAACGATAAAAAGATCATTTATTAAAATCCCTACCAAATAAGCACATAATTAGATTTTTATAATTATTTGAAAGAATTTTGCTATTTGTACGTTGTTGCACAAGCCTTTCACATAAAGGAGGGTCCATGCCCAATAAAAAAAAGCATGGGGTCCTCTTGCTGTACACGCGCCGATTTACATGTAGCACAACTATATTTGAAAACCAATTATAGAGCACTTCATTTAGCATGGCATTGAAGTCAATCATTATACATATACTTTATTTTAGTGCCGCTCATTTGCAAACATTATTTGAGTCATGGAACTTAGGTCTTGATAAAAATAATGAGTTACATAAAATATATATAAAAAAAATTGTAACATATTTAACCACTTACATAATATTAGGCAAATGTTTACGCACTTGTCAAGTCAAATAACTTCTTATTCAAACATCTCGTGAAATCTATGAATATTACTCATTCATTGATCACTTATTTCTATCTACATACTTGCCAAACAGATGAAAACCTTTAGAGGATGTTGTTCAACAAAATTTAAGATTTGCAAGAATTGTCAAAATCACAAGAAAAAAATCTAAATTTCTAAACCACCATCCAAGTGTAGCATTATGAGGTTAGTAATTACAATATATTTTGTATTTTTTTTCGTGGAACAATACTAGTTCATTTTTCTTTCCTTTTTCCAATATAAAGTAATTCTTTGAAATTATAGATAAACAATTGGATTCACCAAAGTTTGTGAAAATAAAAATTTCATAAAGCTCTCTCCATGATCAAGATTCTTATCCGAGCCCGAACCCCTAATTTTCTTTTTCTTGATGACAAGTGGGGGGTCCAAAAATGTACTATAATTTCTAGGCTAGCCCCCCTTGTTTTTAACCTCCACTTGGAAATAATTTATAAATTATTTAAGTTATAAATAAAAATGAATAGTAGGTTGATAGTAATAGTGAATCAATTGAAATGTACACTTGAAAATAAAATTTGATCATTCGTAAATAATTTATAAATTTTGTTTAATGGAGGCTTAAAAAACACAAGCAGCGTGCCTTGTTGTGTTAAGTCGAATACATTCAATCTATCTATTAAAAATGCATTTTTGAATAGTAAATTGATCGAAAATGTGTGGTTGAAAGATAATAAAAAAATTTTGATTTACGTGTAATATTATTTTAATAAAGAATATGTGGTTGAAAAGAAGATAGAAAAAAATGCATTTAGAAAAAAATGGGTACCAAATGGGGCCTAAATACTTCTATTTTATATCAGGGGTATTTAAGCAATATGTAAAATAATAAATGGGAAAAGCACAAATTAGTACATATTGAAAAAGAATGTTCATTTTCAGACTTCACATGATGCTTTAAAGGAGGCCTTTTTGGGGCCCAAAAATCTGTCAAACGATAACGTTGATTTATTTTTGGAAAAAATTTATAAATAAGAGTTTAAATATCATACATTTTAAAATTAAGAAAACAAATTTCAAACTTCAAAAATCAGATTTTTATTAAAATTTATTTATAATTTAGTTAATTAATTAATTATTTTATTAATTAAATAGATTAAAGTCACAGATCTATGTAATTTGATCACAAATTAACAATTTTTTAGATCGCATATTAATAATTTAGTTAATTAATTTTATTTTATATGTCATTTCTCTATTTTTATTTTTATTTTTCAATTTCAATGATACCCGTTTCATTTCATTGGAATGTATGATAAAAGAAGAAGATTTGCTCGAGTAGAAGATGTGAAAATCAAAGTAACCAAAATAGAATTTCTTCTTTTTTCAGAACTTTGAGAAATAAGATAGATTAGTGCAATTTTAATGGACTATTATGCGAGGGTTGCAATTTCTTTATGTTCATGGTTGGTTCAATCGAATCCGCTCCATTGAATGCACACTACAATTTAAGGGCTCAAAATTAGAAATTTTGTTGCGCCTCTCTTCATGAGGCTTCAGATCACCCTCACGTGACAGCCAACTAGTAAGTCCAACAAGGTTTACACTACACATCACCATCCTATCTAGTCGAGGTGAGGCCATATACGAGGTAATTGAGGTGATTCATCACTTTCACCAAGGTGCCATAAAGAGGCCGACCCTCCATGGCCAGATGAGGTGTTACACGCTATAGGAAGAGAATTCGAGGCAACTAGCATCTTTGTTAATGGGGAAGCATCTCCCACCTCACCTTTTCCATGAGATCTTTTGTACAAGGTTTAAAAACGATTGATTGATGTGACATTTCTGCAATAACACTTAAAAGGTTAAATTGTCGGCTTATACTTTAGAGGTCATACTTAGGCTCTAAGGTGACCACTTTTTAGAAAATATTAAATGTCAATCAGCTTGTAATTGATGGATTGATATCAAGAACGAGAAATTTTGACTATCAGGATGAAGCCATGTATCTCTTAATCTAATGGTAACCATGCCTCATCTTTCTACTATGATCCTATTTGACAACCATTATTTTAAAATTCTTTTTTCTACACACTTATTTTCAACCACATATTCACATAATAAAATATTTATAACGTAAACCCAAATTTTTTTGATATTTTTTTAACTACATATTCTCTAAAAAATATAATTCAAAACTTCAATTTACCCAAACAATGGTTGTCAAACTGGGGTTATAAAAGCTCAGACTTAGAGTCATTTGAAAATAATGCAATTTTATACACTCAAGCTGTAACTTCGATCTCCCTCATTCTATATTCTCTACACATGCCCTCAGTGCTCAAAAATTTTTACGGATTACGTTTCACACCCTATATATCATTACTATTGACTGATTTGATCATCGGAGTGTTCGTAGTTGTCTCCTCCACCATCAAAGATGTGCACCAACAGTTTGTCCAAATGTGAAGGAGCTAGAATGCGTGTACATGAAGTAGCCACGTGGCATTATGTCAAGTATTATGTCAATGTAGCATGATTGTAAAAGCTCTTGGGCCTAAGTGGCGGGGGGGGGGGGGGGGGGG